TTAGGTGTGGGTTTTTTGATTCAGCTGGGATCTTTGACAAGCATATAGACAATGTTTGTAAGTCGGCATCTTTTTCGCTGNGAATTCCATAACTAACACGAAACTAAAACAATCGGATCCAGACATTTGGAAGGGGTGGACACAGGGTAGAAGAATGTACATTTTACTACTCTGTGCTTGGTATCAAACCGTTAACAATGACATTTGTACTATAATATATGGGAGACAGCTAAACTTTGTCCGATTTCCTCGATGTACTGTGGTTAATGAATCCATTTTTACATCCAAAGTTAGTCCGTGTTTTTTTTTTTCTTTCTTAATTTTTTTTTATCTCTTAAGAGATTTGAACAGAGTATAGCCATCAATGGAGGTCACGTGGTCTAAAGACAAGCTCAGATTTTAGAATAATAGCTATAACTGCCGTTTTTGTGGTAAAAAAATATATCATATTTCTTTGAGTTATTCACAATGTTTTTATTGTGAAATAAAGATCTCATACGAAGGGTTATTATCCCTTTAAGAAAAGCAACTAGTAAAATACTCGTAAAATATTTGAAAGCTTACCTTGTTGTCGTATTGCACTTGCCGGTACTTAGAGCTTTCTCGTTTGGTTCCCAACGAATTTCAAATTTCATGAGGGCTAATACTGGTAGGGATATGACTAAAGGCAATACAATAATGTAACGCAAAGGTAGCTTTTATCCAAGAAATAACGTTAACACTGCATGGCATTTATGGCCTGCCCGCATTAATGTAGTTTTTGTTAGATTTAATATTGGCAGGACGCCCAATTTTGTGATGGTAGAACGTATCGAATTTTCCATACCAGGTCAACGGCTGACGTTTATGTTTCTCCTAGAATATTATAAACGTTAAAATTTTCAATGACATGTAAATTTAGCAAGGGGCAACATAAAGGTGGTTCGATAGGTTATAATAACCTAAATTAGTCAAAATAGCATTTCTTTCCTATTTCATTTTCTGTCTAACATTCATATCCAGATATTAATGCAATACTTTTCTCTTAAAAAATTAGATCAAAAACACACTTTTCATTATTTTGTTCACCACCCCATGCAGATCTTGCACTTAGCTCTGTCCCTGTTTACCGTCAATTTATATGTTTCTAGAATCGCAGCAGTCTAACTACGCCTTAACTCAGGAGTTAAGTTAGGCAAAGTCTGAAAAAACTGGTGATTCAGCAAAAATTGATCTTCTTTACTTGACTGGATGATGTCCTTAACTAGGAGAAAAATGCGCCAAAAATAATGCTGTTTTTATTAAATGGATTAAGTATTGGACAGCGAATTTCATGCTGGTGCATTTTAGGACAAATCTCCATATTATACCTGTCAAGAGCTAGCGTTGATGTAGCTGCTGGAATTCATTTTTATGCTGTTAAAATTTCTGAGAAAATCATTAACAAACACTTCTCTGTTGCATTGCCACGTCCAGTAGCATGCTGTCCCGAACTTACAACGTATTGAAAATTTATCTATCATTAAAACATGTGTGCTAATTTTCCTAGCCGACTACCATCCAGGTGAGACACTAATGGTAGTCGGCAAGGAAACGTAGTCCGTTTTCCGTTATTTTACACAGATGCATTTCATCTGATATACTAGAACTAATCTTAACTTGTACTAATTATAAAGGGATCCCCGGACTCCTATTTCTTGGGCTACCTTTCCTGGCACACAAGTAACCTTTGTGAAGAGTAATGCCACTTACCAAATGATGCTCCTTTTCCTTTTAACAGTGTCGTGCCGTGACAACGTTCTGGTATATTTTCAGATAACATTTAAATATGATATATGTTCACATCACGTTTGCCGCCCATATCAGACCCGTAGCTTGGCAGGATATGGAGCATATTTGGGGCAGTCATTATTAACATGTGAGCTAATTTTAAAGATAGCCCAGTTACCTTCGTAGAGAGATGCAACTTACCAAATGTTGCTCCTTTTCCTTTGAACAGTGTCGTGTTCCATATGACAACGTTCTGGTATATTTTCAGCTAATGGTAAACATTAAATATGATCATATCACGTGTGCCGCCCAAATCAGACCCGTAGATGTAGCTAGGCTGGCTATGGAGCATATTTGGGGCAGGCCATCAATTCCAAATAGGTCTAATTAATTATAAAGCCCATTGTGATTGGCAGTGCATATAGCCAGTGTTCACCGAACATGAATACATTTCCTGGAAATATATTTAATTCCCATATCAAACCCGTAGCTAAGCCGCTTTTGGGACATACATGTATTTATGGCAGGTCATCAATCCAGAATGCATAACTATAACTTCAGGTACAGGCAGAACTAATGATCGGCAAAACTAACAGCTTGTGTAGGAATTATAATGAATAGTCGTAATGTATGAATTATGAATTCTTTTCGTGTTATATATCAGAAAAAACATAAATCTTAGTACTACTTTCACGTGTGAGATAAATTACTGTCACGAGCGTTAAATGCCAGAACGAGGCATATATCGCGAGAGGCTGGTAGTTAATCATTTGATATTAATTATTTAATTATTAGAGAAGTACTCGCATTTCACCAAAATGCTCTTTTGGCGGTGATGTGTCTTTCATATAATATGTGTGGCGGAAGTTTACCGGATATAGAATGGGTTGGCGTGGTTTTACCTTTAACCACCGCTCTCCTTTTATATTATTAAAGCGGGTCTCACCGATACGGGTAAAAATGAAACAAGTCCCAGCCTATTCTTACGTATGTATAGGCCATAATCTAAAGAAAAACTGTCCTTTGTAACGGGCGGCAATAAAAAAATGTTAATTACTCCAGATTCGAGTCTGCATTACGAACCTCTCTGGCCCAAAATAAAGAGGAGGTCCCCACGGTCTTAGCCAATCGGAATGCGCTGGTAGAATCAGCACTCGTACAAAATATGGCGAAGGAGTTTCAAGTAAATCGCTTAAAATGCATGCTAATTATACCATTCTCCCTTCATTATTTGTAAACATATCTGTGCACTTAAGTATCGAAAGAATTCATCAATTTTTGTGGTAGGTTAAAATAGTCCGGAAATAGACGAGGGTTGAAATTATTTACGACATTGCTTGGGATGTCAAAATCGTCAGTAGGAGCGCTAACGCATGAATTCCTTGCTAAGCATAAACATGTCTTGATTGATATTTTTAGTTTGATCATGTTTTTATCATGTATATTAATAAGGCAAGCGGTTACAGCAGTGACAATTGTCCCAAACTAAATGAGCCTTCCAGATAAAGAGCTCCCAGTTGTTGTTAATTGCAATGTCGTATTGAAACTTTACACCGTCGTCCTCAGTGATCGGACACATTCCTTAGTTTTTTTTTTTTTTTTTAATTGGTACGAGGCTTAGAGAAAGTGAAAGATCAAATGGAAATCAATTTCCCTGAGAACAATGAAGAGAAAATGTAATATCTCAAGGAGGCAAGGCTTTGAGAACTAGAGGTATGAAAAACTTAAAATTTGCATATCTTCATTGAATAGACAAATGGTAAGTTCACAAACACAAAATAAGAAAAGGTGTTACAATAATACACTCCTTTCTTGTGAGTTACCATGTTCAAATTTACTTATTCAAAAGACTGATATATTTCAATAATCACTTATAGTCAATAATCAGTATTCAGACACTCGCCATTTCTGACATTTCTTAAACTATAAATTTTAAGTAAAAAACTGAAAATAATTGATCAAAAAGAAAGAGAATAATTTGTATTTCTCCCACGGAGACACTGAGTTGAATGAAATGAAATGTCCAATAATGTGAATATCAATAAAACTTAAAGTTATCACTTATGCAAATGAACGTTGCATCAAATGTGCTAGATTCCCCAGCTCCTCAATCACGATAAAAGAAAAACAATATAAACCCTGCCCTTGCACTGGATCTAAAGAAGCGTCTGCTAGAGAATGTAACTGGCACAGACCCAGCATCAGTGGAGATGGGAGTTACTTGCTGATGAATTCACTTGACTACTTCCCTGTGAAAAAAATCACAGAATAACTATCAACAAGAGTATATTCTCACAGAATGTCTTTTTAAATGTATATAGCTTATTTTATTTGACTTTTTCAAATTTCTTGAAGATATTCACTTTCCAATATAAATATCCAATAGAAAATTGTCAGTTGTTTCTTACTTATATATGGCACATGCATAATTGTATTTTAAGGTATTTTAATCTTTCCTGACTGAATTACTACCCAGCAGGCAAACGACATTGATTCTACGTTGATTCAACGTTGATCCACCAAAAATAACGTTGATTCGACGGTAAATCAATGTCGTTTGTCTGCTGGGTATGTCCAGTTATTGTGTTGCTACATGCATTCCAATCAATATCTTGTCATCACTTTACCACCCTTCTTCTCACAAAGATAAAGTTCATGAGACCTTTTATATGCAAGAAGAAACACTACATTTGTTGAACATTTTTTTATGTGCCTTATTGATAAAATATATGAATAAGAGGTGTTTAACCGTATTTTATTCAAAATGAGCATTGAACACTTTCCTTAGGAGAGAAAGCGAGATGATCTAAAACACGTTCCAAGGCTTTTCAAGATGATGCGCATGAAGAGTTCTAGGATTTTTTCACAAAATTTTTCAGTGATATAACCTGAGTGGCTCCTCCTTACCTGTCGTGTGTTTATAAGGAAACTGTGTATTTCTGAAGAAAATTTTTATTTATCCCGCAATGGGTTTCGCTGTCACTGTGTGCAGACGATAGACATATAGCAGTCGAAGTATTCAGTGCCCCACTTCACCCCCCTCACCCAAATAAAAAAAAAGTAGCAGGATTCGATGAACGGATGGTTTGGATTTAAAAAAGACTTTAAAAAGGTATGATTGAAAATAATAAGAAAAAAAACTAGTTCTGCAGTGATAAATTTATTCAGAGAAATCTGCTCTGAAAACATAAAACGCCAATAGGAGTAGATCCAGTACATAAGTACGTTTAATCAACTGAAGTGGAAAGGAATCAAATAACGAAGCATGGAGTAGACAAAGCTAAATTGGCCCCTCTGACACCCGTAAGTTGTCCAGCCAATGCGTACTGTATAATGTACTCATTGGTGTAGTTGACGACCTGGGCAGAGGGTGAGCTGATAGTCCCGTCATCTCTAAGGACCTGCAACAAGGCAGCCACGGCGCCGGTCACAAACGGAGCTGCCATGGAGGTGCCTCTCTTAGTAGTATATTTATTGTTTCCAGAGAAGTCAGCAGCTTCGATACTCTCACCCGGGGCGTAAAGATCTACGCAAGGACCATAGTTGCTGAAACTAGCCTTTTCAAAGTCCTCATTAAACGCTCCGACAGTGAGGGCATTGGCCGTGCTACCTGGAGAATCAGTGCAAGCGTCTGCATTGGCATTACCAGCTGAAACAATTACGGGGATTCCCGCTGCGAGTAGATCATCGACTGCGTCGTTCAGAGACCTGATGAACGACGCACCAAGACTGAAGTTAATAACGGAGAGTCGCCCAGAGCTTTGCACTCTTTGTTTTGCCCACAGACAAGCATTCAATATACCGGAAACAGGGCATCCATAATCTGAGCAAACCTTCAGGGAAATGATGTTAGCACTCTTTGCCACACCAGAATTGGTTCCCCCAATGATACTGGCCACGTGGGTACCATGACCATCGTCGTCAACACTTGTAGATGTCGGCCAGCCTGGACAAAAGAAAAATTGATAAAATCAACCATTTTATGTATTAAACCTAAAACTGATTAAAGTTGAACTTCTATGATTTGATTTTACTACCAAGAAGCATGAAGGCGTCTCATTTCGGATGAAGTGAATATTCCGTAAACTGAACAATGGTACAAAATAGGCCCAAATATAACTATCCTGTACTGAAAAGAAAACAGACATTTGAGATGCATAATGGCAGTTGTATTGTAACTATATTCTATGAGCAGCTATCATATTACAGAAGAGACAACATCCCCATTCCCATGCAACATTAAGAAAATCCAGATTTCTAAATTTTCACAATGGGAAGATAAATTCACTCTCTGCGGGAAACCAAGGAATACTGTTTTCTTTTTAAACGTAGTAATGAAAAATGCTTACATAAGCTGTCGTTGCACTTAAGTAAGACCGACGTGCTCCCTTTTTAGACCCCTTTTTCAGGTGTTGTTTTCGCTGCAGCGCTGCATTACGAAAATCAGAAAGCAACTCACCAATAGTAACTCTCCCTGTGAAATCTTCGTGGTTTGGATTGATGCCTGTGTCTGCCACATATACATCTATTCCCTCTCCATCGCCCCAGATGTTATACTTGGCATTGTATGCATCACCATCAAGAGCATCCAACCCCTGCAAGTAAGGGAAAATACAAACTATGAAACTAGCTTTGACATATTTCCATGGCTGCAATCAATGAATTCTTGCATAAGGAATTTTCCAGATATGTATATTTCTTGCACAGTCTTGCCAGAAAGTATATGGAAAATGCCAAAGGAGCACCATATTGAAAATTAATAAGGTTTATCATAGAAAACCAAACCAACCAAACCACCCTTTAGATTTTTGAGAGGACATTATAAATCTTTTTGTTTGCTGGACAGTTTTGAGATAGACATTTGCAACTGCACTCATCAAAAGCAAATTAAATGCACCCTTAACTTCATATATTGTTCAGGTGTATGCCACAAGTACGGGACTTTAACCTTTTAAGAATGTTACCAATAGTCAAAACGATTCAAACATTTACAAAAGTCTGTTGACTTCGTGACCGAAAGTGATCTGCTTTTAGAAATCAGTATAATCAACATACTAAAATGTTATTGGAATTGAAACTTATGAAACCTTTAAGTTATACGGTCTATCTTTCTGCATTAACATCAGCATTAACATACCCAATAATATCTTCCAGAAAACCATAATATATAGGATTTGCAGTATTCAGTGCTTAGTTCTAACTTAACGTCCTGTTCAATTTCCGCAATGACATTGGTGAGTTGTCGCAGAGCGTGGAGGTTGCTTAAACATTATTAAATATACTCATAAATACAATAAGGTATATGTGTGTCCTTTGCATATGCAAAAAGTAAATATGAAATTATCAATTGATGACCAATACGTATTTTAAATATTTTACAAATGTGTAAGGACGAATGAAAACAAACGGTTAANCGTCCTGTTCAATTTCCGCAATGACATTGGTGAGTTGTCGCAGAGCGTGGAGGTTGCTTAAACATTATTAAATATACTCATAAATACAATAAGGTATATGTGTGTCCTTTGCATATGCAAAAAGTAAATATGAAATTATCAATTGATGACCAATACGTATTTTAAATATTTTACAAATGTGTACGGACGAATGAAAACAAACGGTTAAGAATGCGCTGTGTCCAACCTTTTACTTATTTTTCGCAGAATGACGAAATCCTTGTCTTTATCAAACTTAACTTGTTGTCTTCGTCCAGCTCCTTTGATGATTCTACGGACTAGATAAATAAAATTATGTTCCTTGTAAATGGTTTACATAATAAATCCATTTAAGGCTACAATAAAGCAGAGATGGACCGGAACCTAAGCCCTTATTATTAGAAAAAAACTGCAAAATGCACCCAGGGAAAACTGAACTTTGCAAGGACTAATAATCAACTAATAATGAACCATTAGTTAAAAGATGGACCATCACCAAAATCTTGTCACTTTAAAGTTAGCCCATTTTGACCTATCCTGATTATCTAATCAAAACCCGTCCACGCGTTAAGTTGCGAACAAACTACCTAACTAACAAAACCAAAAAAAAACATAACCTTCTTGGTCATGGGGAGGTCATAAAGCACAATGTGTGAGCTGGAAAAGTGCCCCTGCTAAGATTCGAAATGAAAAAGCTGTACTTCCCATCAGCCAAAAAAATATACCCCAAATTTTCCTGAACATTGTTTACGCAACAAAAAGCAAAAGATTCAGAACAATCATGGTTCAACTTCATTGCTTTTTTTCCATTGGTGCTTGCTTGCAGCGTCTCAGCGTCAACGGCGTTTGGTTTGAATTGACCACCACAACCACAAATACTAGACGACCTTAATGTCCTCTCCCGCTGCCCTGCGATCCAGTAAAATTAAATATACATTCAGATCTAATTATTAAAGTGACTGGTACACGTAGGGCCAAAAGGATTCAATTTCATGGGCAAAGGATGTAGTTAGGTACGTTTACTTACTTCGACCGTAGTTTGCACCAGGCAGTAGTCGAGCAATGTATTGTCCTGACACAGAACCGTTCATGTACTCAATAAGTGGCACTGAGGGAGATAAGAATAAGAATGAATCAGCCACCATTGTTAAAATACTCCTTTGCGCTTTAGTTAGGGTGCGTTTTTATAATCACTCAATGATATATAAGCCTCTTTTTGGTCACTTATAATGATCTTTAGTTCAAAGTGCACGGTAACTGATCAAATAATATTTGTCATGTAAGATTTCTTCGTGGGGTGTATTAATCAAACTATCTTGCTGTGAATTTATTTTCACTACATTTGATAAAACGTATTATATATTATGAAACATTTTAATTGTCAAGTCTTAAATACATCAACAATCAAATGAACAAATCTATAAGTTGCCTTTCCTTCATACTGGTACATTGACAGAAAAATCGGTGTAATTTCACATATAAAGCATGAGCAACGTGGGAAGTTTATTATAAATTTCTTCCATTATGTCGTTGGAAAACGCCTCGCATTTCAAAATCAAAGGCTCTACATTTTGTGCAGTTAATCAACTATTCTACTTGCCTAAGTCTTGTTCTTCTGACACTCTCAATACACCAGCATCTTGCAACTTTTTTCGAATGGTTCTGTGGTCCCCTTTTTTCCTTGCCTGTGCCTCGGGTGCATCTCTAGACGTAATGTTGTACTCCTCCTCCCCCCTCTGATCTGCAACTGTCATTGTAAACAGCCAGAAAGCCAAAACACCTATCATCGCCGATGCCTGCATCTTCTATAAACAATTACATGTATTTCAATTATTTTAAATGGAAAACTTACTTTCGTCTTTCAAATAATAGAATGATTTCAAATAAGATTATGTGAAGTTGAACAAAAATTTTCAAATGTTTTTATAATTTGTTTTTCTTAATGCGTCGGGTCATCTTAATTGCCACTTAAAATTAATTTGTGTAGTCAAATGTTCACAAGCACAACGAAGCTTTGCTTTTGCTCAAAATCAAATAAGAAATAAGGCCATATGACTGATATTGGCGAAATTTAATATGACACGAAGATAAATATCTAGTTAGATTGGAATGATAACAACATTGCATTAAATGACCACCATACATCCCATATAATGGAGGAAAGAGTTGGCAAAGAGCAAAACAATGACTGGCAAAGAGTAACTTTGGCCAATAAAATGTAATATGATACGAAATGACAAGATGGGGGGGGGGGGGCTAGTAACAACATAAAATTAAATAATCGCACATAGATCTAGATAGGCAGATGACCCCTTAGCTCCATGCTGATGAAATGGACAATATAAAGTCCGCTTGAATTTCATAACTAACACGAAACTAAAACAATCGGATCCAGAGATTTGGAAGGGGTGGACACAGGGTAGAAGAATATACATTTTACTACTCTGACAATTGTACTATAATAAATGGGGCACTGGGATGGTCAACTGCTTGGTTTTGACTCGATTTTCTCGTTATACTGCTTTTTTGGAGACAAAAAGGAGAAAGGAATATCAGAAGTGTATTACTTGGGAAAGAAAAGTGTCTTAGAAAATATTACAAGGGTTATATTAAATGCATTCTATTGTGCAAAAACAACCAATAAAAATACTCGTAAAATATTTGACAGCTTATCTTGTTGTCGCATTGCACTCGTCGGTACTAAGAGTTTTCTCGTATGATTCCCATTTGAATTTCAAGTTTTGATGAGGGTTTATACTGGTAGGGATATGTCTATGGTGCCATTAAACTTAATCGAAAAATATATTGTAGTACTGGCAAACGTGTTTTTCACTACACGGGCCATTAATTGTATATGTACTAAGCAAAGCTTCATTGGTAATTTTTAATTGAAGATATTTAAGTGCTGATTAACTTTTTTGTTTTAAGTGGGCTATCGTCAACTACTGCCCGGTTCATTCATCCGGTGCAGTGCTTACCACCAGAACAGGGGTCGTGAGATTATTTTCCACGACTGGATCTAAATCCTAGTGCATTCTCGAAGAATTTAATCAAATCGGTGGATTTTAATCTTTAAATAAACGCGTCTAGCGTACTCGTATGACTCCAACTTTTTCTATCCTTCTCAACGTTAGAAGGAGGCGTGTTAGTCTTTTAATCCGGTTGCATTCAACAACAGTCTAAACAAAAGTTTGTTTGAATTAACTTCGTTGTGAACGCACCCATAGACTGCCTTGCATCAAGGACATTACAGCATAACTTTGATATGCCGTTTTATCAGTAAAGCTTCATTTTAGCCCATTTCCCCCTGTGGTAATATTCCAACTATGTCTAATTGTATCTACATGTATGATATTTTTACGACAGATGTTGTTGAAATATCATCGTCATCAATTCCTAATTTTTTTAACTAAGGTTTTTTTTTTTTATTTTGTATGAACATATATGTATGTTCCTAACACTAAAGCAACGAAAAAAAAGGTTAAAGGCAAAATCAAAATGAAACTGTGTCCAAGAATTTATATTTTGCATGACATATAAATGATATTCCCACATGAGAGTTGTTTTTGATAAATGAATGAAGTATTAGATGCTGAATCTCATATGCTATACCCTTCAACCTTTGCCATTGTTGTTACTGATGCAATGTTGGATTGTGAAAAAATTCTGAAAACAACTGAATGAAAATATATAATCATTACTCCATAACAAAAACATTTCAACCATAATAACGACACTGAAGCCCATTGGTTTGTGGTCAACTATACCAATTTTTGTAATAAAACCTTGTTCAGGAATATTATGCCTATAATACTTATTGCTATCACACCAAGAAATAGAAAGATGTTAAATAAACGATAAACGCTTTGGATTGCGTATGATTATACATTGCAACGAGAAATGCAAACGCCGATATTCTATATTTTCTAGGGGATTCTTACTGTTTTAAATCAGCACAATGAAAGAAGCGTTATTGAATAATTAGATCCAGGAAAAACCTCTTGTTTGGTATATAGATGCATATAAATTTTTACAATACTGTTAAGGTGGTACTACAGGTATAATGGACTGTTCACACTGAATGTTGATGACACACTTTATTATTATATTTATCTTTTTTATTTTATTTTATTTTATTTTATTTTATTTTATTTCTTGTCAACAAAAGCCTATTTGTTTATAGCAACATAATATTGGTCAAAGGCAAAATAATAGTGTATCCAAGATATCACATTGCGGTGCATTAATGGAGTGCCCGCATTAATATAGCTTTTATCAAATACATTTAATATTGGACAGACGCCGGCTTTTGTGAGGGTAGAACGTATCGAATTTGCCATACCAGGTCAACTGCGTTGTTGTTTCTGCTAGAATATTATAATTGTTAAAATTCCCAAGGACAAGTAGATTTAGCAAGGGGCAACATAAAGATGGTTCGATAGGTTGTAATAGCCTAAATTAGTCAAAAGAGCTACGTCTTAACTCTGGGGCTAAGTCAGGCAAAGTCAGGAAAAAAGGTAATACAACCGAACACGATCTATTGTATTTGACTGGCTGATGACTGATGACCCGTTACAGGAGAAAAATGAACCCAAAACAACACGTTGCGAACACTTGTTGGCTTGGTAAGTAGCACGGGTGTCCAGCATTGCAACTCCCTACACATACTATAAATACAGAACCTGTCATATTGCAAAATTCACCATTAACATGTGTGCAAATTTTAAAGATAGCTCTGTAACATTCGTTAAGAGTAATGCCACTTACCAAATGATGCTCCTTTTTCTTTGAACAGTGTCGTTTGCTTTGAACAACGTTTCCTTTCAACAACGTTCTGGTATATTTTCAACTAACGTTAAAATATAATATATGTTCACATCACATTTGCCTTCCATATCAGACCCGTAGCTTGACAGTCTATAGAACATATTTGGGGCAGGCCATCAGTTCCAAATGGGTCTAATTGATTATAGAGTGCATGGTGATTGGCAGTGCATATAGCCAGTGTTCACGAATATGAATACATTTCCTGGGAATACATTTCATTCATAAATCAGACCCTTAGCTAAGCCGCATTTTGGGACATATTTGGGGAAGGCCATTAATTCAGAATGTAACTAAAACTTCAGATACAGGCAGAACTGATGATTGGCAAAACAAACAGCTTGCTTATTATAAATAATCGTATTGTATGGATCATACATTCATTTCGTGTTATATCACAAACACATATACCTTAGTACTTCTTTCACGTGTGAGATAAATTACTGTCACGAGCGTTATATGCCAGAACGAGAGGCTGGCAGTTAATTATATGATGTACATACCGAGAGAAGTACTCGTATTTCACCGAAAAACAGCCCCAAAACCGCAAAATCCAAACCTTACTTCTGTAGTCTACTTACTATAAACATTGGAACATTGTAACTGATCAGTCAGATGACTAGAAGTCTATTAGAGGTATCATGCAAGTAACTATGTAGACTATATTAGTTTTATTTAAGGCTGATCATGGTTTACTCGAAGAGAGCATTGCCTTAGTTGAATAAACTGTCATTTTCAGTCAATAATTTAAAATGTTTAAAATGTAAGGTAGCTGAAGCTGTGGTAAAGTCATCATCATCAAAGTCAGTTTCTTTCACTATTCCATGTTAACAATTCGCCTTAAGTAAAAAGTGATAGAAAAACAATGCCAGATCGAGTCATTCTAAATACAAATACGTACAAATACAAATCTCTAGGCCTTTGGAGGAAATACTTAAGGCTCCATCTTTATGGACAGCACTAGAAGGCGACACTGTTTAATGCAGTATCGTCGCCTTGTCCTTGAGAAGCTTCAAACCTGATCTTGTAACGTGTGGCCTTCACCACAATGTCTCCACCACCCTACTACCCCAGGAGCCCCAGGGGTCCCCATTGCTGGAGCTTACAACCAGGCCTACTCAACTACCAGACTCGGCACCGAATGATCCAGAATTCACCGGTATATCGGACCACACTACCCGTTTTCAAGGTGTGCGTCAGTACGCATGTCACAGTATCATACCCCGGAGCAGATTTTGAGATAAATTGCACTATTTTCCAACCCCGTTGAGAATCATCGCTATCACATCGCATACTAGGCAAGAGCGGTGTCGCATCCGATACTTCGAAGTGTAGTACTGGTAGTTGGGTATGCATTGCTTATTCGGACTTTAGTGTAACGAAGCACCGGCTTTGTTTCGATTAATAAATGAATTTCGGTGGAATGAATAATTTTAGTAGCATTACACATGGATAGTTCAAATTTTACGGGTAACAAACTGACGAAAAGGTGTGACTATGACATAAGTATGACCACTTGTTTTTAGCGTTCAAAGCAGTTTCATACAGTTACAACAAAAATAATTTCAAGTTCTAAAAAAACGCCATGCTCTTCAGAACCCATCCCAATGCCAAAGTCATCAATTCCACCACTGACCTGGTGAATATTTATTTGCGGGACTGGATATTTCCAGATTCATCCAAAAGGGCAGTCAGGAAACCGGCTGATGAAATTCTTCTCTGACAAAAACCTGCCTTTTACCAAACAAGCCCTCAGTTGTATACTTGACGTAAATCATAAATTCCTCATACTCGTATTTTAACAGCTAGTGACATCAGAAACAGAACGACATTTCTGCTTAGTATGTGGTGCCTAAATTGGTAGCGAGCATTTCATTGATCAGGATAATCTTACTGTAACTGCCCGCGATATTTTTATTTTATTTTATTAATTTTTTATTTGAGTTTGTTCTTTGTTTACTTATCATTCATGCGAAGTACGTTTTCCGTTCTTTCTCTGTTTTCTCTTTCTGTCATTCTCTCTCTCTCTCTCTCTCTCTCTCTCTCCTAATTATAACATTACAGGCCACCACACTTACCTAACCGCACCGTCACATGCCTGTACCACACCCTGCACTGAACAGTTTTCATTCCACAGCATATATAAGGCTTCCTCTCTATTTCTTTTTGCTCACTTCACTTTCTTACACAGAACGATGCGGGTACACTAACGACACCACTTTAGCACACCCAGTCGGAGGAAAAGGTAACTATTACATCGATAACGTAAACTTCTCTGGCTTTGGGTCTTTCAACGTTTCTATCTATCCTTTTATAACGATATTAGCACACTTGGTCGGGGATAAGGCAAATTATTTCAACGCTTAAAGTAACGTAAACTTCTCCGACTTTGGGTCTTTGCAACGTTTCCGTCTATCCTTTTTCTTACACTTTAGTATGCACTTCGTGTAAATTTATTATCAATTTATAGGTCATTTGTATTTTAATTTGTTTTCAGTATTTTTCGCTACATTTTTTGTTCTGTTATTTATTTTCTTTTATTTCATTTTTCTTTCAGTTTTACGTTTGAATTCAATAAATTCAACCAGTTAAAGAGACTTCCCTTTTTTGACTGAGTGCAGCTACACTTACCTCGTTTTATCCTCACTTAAGCGAGACACGGATAATGAGGCACCTGAGAGTAAGTATGTAATATGAAATGGACTGTCACTAACCATGTGTACCTCGTGATGAAGTGGTACACAAGGGACCACTCAATCACGATTGTGCTCATTTGGATATGTTAATACCCCTCCACAGTTACACTCCATCAGCTCGGACCTTTTCCAGATTTTTGGGTGCTTTCCCAGAGATTTAGATCGATCTAAAGATTAAGTTTTAGATCGACCTAACTCCCTGGGGGTTCACGTTAAATTGCAGTCAGCCGAGCGGGCACCATAGTTAATTACCCTCTTACAGCTTTTAGTAGGCGGGACAGACGCTTAAGCCGGCCAAGCTGACAGTAATCTAGTGAGACTCCCCACAGGGATAGATCGATCTAATTTGCAATTTTTTGATCCCTAGGAAATAGTGTTTGGTCACGCTAATGACAGGGGATGAACATAATGAAATGGGAAAAGCAATACATACAGGTAAAATACCGTGTGCGTACTCAGCATAATTACCTGCATATTATTTTTTATTTTCAGAGAGAGAATTCTAAATCCATTTAATGAATTAAAACCAGAAATTGTGCGAAATGAGTACCAGCAACACAATTACACTGCGTTTATGATAATCACACTCTTATCTCTTCTACAATTTTTCTGGAAAAAAGTATAACTAATACAGATCAGTCGCAAATGCAATTTTAATTGAGATGATTTTGCTACGTGAAAACAATTTCACGTATTTATGTGCAATTTATGATCCATAGGAAAAAGTGTTTGACACGCTAATGACAGGAGATGAACACAATGAAATGTGAAAAGCAAAACATACAGGTAAAATAACTCTTCAGAATAATTACGTATTATTTATTGTGAGAGGAGGAGAGAGAAAAAATGTAAAAGTTAAACTTTATAGTAGCTAACTCAGAACGTTGCCACATCACAACGGACACGACATTGTTCAAAGAACAAAGAAGCATCATTTGGTAAGTTGCATCACTCTTCACGGAGGAGGCTACTGGGTTTACTTAAGAATTAACACATATGCTAGTGATATATAATGAATGGGATATGAAAGGTAAATCAAATGCGAAAGAGTTTTATTATCAAAACAAATAAAAGTGGCAATTAAAAAATACTCTTTGGGTGTTTAATTTCGAATCATTTTATTATTTTTAAGTCTGAAATAATTTAATACTCAAAGGTTTCATCTGCTCATGTTTACAGAAGTATGCAGCCATCTACGCTGGTGGGTATTTTGGTTTTCGGGCTGTTTGCAATGACATTTGCAAATCAGAGTTTGGAGCAGTTGAACGACATTACGTCAAAGGATGGACCTGAGGCACCACCGAGGAAAAAAGAAGATCACGGAACCATTCGAAAGAAGCTACAAGACGCTGGTGTATTGAAAGTGTTGGAAGACGAAGGTTTAGGCAAGTAGATTTGTCGACTGATTGCACGTAAAATTTGGTAGTCTTGGAGTAGTGAAAAAAATTACATTATGAATTTCCAAGGTCGTTAACTGAGGGATTGTGCTCTGTTTATTTGATGAAGGAAAGGCAGTTTATTAATGTGCATTTTACTGATTCGTTCAAGTGATTGGTGATGTATTTTAACAATTAGAATATCTAAAATTATTCTTCTTCCCAATTTAAATGATTAAAATTTTGTAGATATATTTTATCAAAAGTGGTGAAATAAAATTCACAGCAAGGTAATTGTGATATTTACCCGTACATGTACGAATCTTACATGACAAATAATCTCAAATAATCTTAAATGACGATAAACTAAAAAACATAGTAAGAGACCCAGAAGAGATGGCTAGAATTGAACTATAGGTAATAAAACATTACCTAGAATGTACCTGAAACAAATTACAAAGGAATATAGTGTGAAGTTTCGGAGAAAGAGTGTTTTTTTTCTCACGGATCGGTTGAAGAAATCAGATGGTGTTTATTTAAACGTTACTAAACTTCAAGTGCAAATAAATAATTCAGCCTTCGGTGATTCAGTCTTATTGATATCTCCCTCAGTGCCACTTATTGAGTTCACGGACGGTTCTGGGATATCAGGACAATACGTCGCTCGACTTCTGCCTGATGCAAACTACGGTCAAAGTAAGTCAACGTATATAACTCCACCCTTTGCCGATTGTCAGCTTACGACTGGGTTCCCACAGATTTAGATTGATCCATCTGGTTTCACCTAACTCCCTGGGGGTTCATGCTAAATTGCTGTCAGCTTCCGGGAGCCGAGCGCGCACAAGAGTTAATTACCCCCTTACAGCTTTTAGTAGGCGGGGCAGACATTTAAGCCGGTCATGCTGACAGCAATGTAGTGTGACTCCCCAGGGGGATAGATCGATTTAAATATCTGTGGGAATGGTCTCTTAGGTCATATTTCTGCCAGCTCCTATATTACCAATTCATAGGATAAGCTTTACTACTTTATGATAGAAGGCGACTTCATCGGTTAAAAATAAGGACCCTCAGGCGACTTCGCGATATTTACCACTTCATGGGACATTTCTGGTAAAACATGTTTCAGTTCTGGTTGGGAGTGGAAATTAGGTGAAAAGGTCGATATGATGTTTAATTCGAATGTCGAAAATGGCGCGTATTTTTGCCATTGGGGGGGTGTACATATAACATTGTTCACTCACACGATAGCCATATTTTATCACGTTCGAGTTTTTTAAACCTGTTATTTTCAGATGTTCTCGTATATACCCGTGAGTTTAACTTCTATAAAAATGTACTCTGTTTCAAGAGCTCCCTGTGAATTAAGGAAAGCCTAGCAAGTTCTTTGATTCATCCATTTAGTTTTGAGATTTTTCAGATTTCAGGACAATTAAAAACTGTCAATATTTGGACGTTGAATCATGGTGGGTCTAGGACACTATAAGATAAACAAAGTCAAGATAAACACATTGTCTGCCTTTAAACTAGGACATATAGCTGACCGTGGGTGATTTGATTGACGGCGTAGGTTTATAGTAGTGGCAGGTTAACAGTAACAAGATTAATGCGTCTTCCCACTGTAGGTAGAGGGCTCTACTTGGTAGAGAGGTTTTAATGTTGCTCAACATTAATTGTGTAACATATTTATCCCCGCACTTTTGGGACAAATGTCGGGGATCATGTTATCCTGCCCGTCCGTGCGTCTTTGTGTTAGTAATTTCCGCTATCTCCTCCTAGACTATTGCAGGTAGGAAGTTGAAACTTTGATAATTGGTAGACCCATCTTCAGGGATGTGCATGGAAATATTGGAATTTTAGTGCAACAGGGGGTTGGGCTGTCCTTGGGGGGTAGTTGATTCGACACCAGGAAACCAAGGTAACAATATTTTATATTTTAATGCAATTTTAAAGGTATATTTTTAATAATAGAAGATTGTTTCACCCTCGGGTCTTTGTTCTCTGAGCATGCCACATGGTTTAAACTGAACTTGCTTCTATAGATAAGTGTTATGTACATTTCTACCCGGTTTTCTTCTTATAAAGTGCACATAATTAACATTAAAGATTATATAATTATTACTTGTCACGGTATTTTATTAAGAATTAGTAGAAAAGCAGTTTAATCAGTTTATCAGATTTAAAGTAGTATAATATTCGTTTTCTTTTTAAATTGAAAGTTATTGTTAGTAGATTTAAATGTCTGTTTGCTAAAGAACATATCTATTCTATAGGACAACTTGAGATTACGTGCACAAGGGCAAAAGGGGCCAAAGTTGTGTGTTATACTGTATTTACAGGTTTATTTAGATTAGAGATATGTTATTAATAGTCCATTCTTTATATGTTACAAATACTATATTAGAATTAATTTCTTATTTTTTGATATATTTCTATGTCACTACATTCATAGTGTGTTAAATGATTCAATTTAATTAATTGAGCAGTGTCATGTTACAAGTTGAGTGTTATTGTTTACTTTGAGCCACTAGTAAGTGTAGGCTGTGTGTACAAATTGTCACATATAATATTCTCCAGTCAGTCTGAGTACAGTCAAGACGTGTTAGTTTAAGACAATGAAACAAGGTCAGAATATTGGTTAGACATTTTATTTTTCTTTGATTTTTTTACAATTATTTTATCATTTCAGATTCACGGTAATTTGGTATTAAAATACTCTGGTATTCAGGTACTACCTATCAGTGAATAAAGGTTCCATCATCTAGTTACATCATCTTGTTACGTCATCATTTCGTCAAATGCACGCAAACTCTACAAATTGTACATTTAAATCTTTAACAAACCGTCTGTCCCATTATTCGTGCTATACTAGTATTTCTTATGTAACTTTAACATTAATGTTATTATTTTAAATGAAAAGCTGTCAAAATAAGCTTTTATTGATATGCAACATAATATTTCGAGAATATCTCGGTCGGTTCAAAAGAAAGACCCCCTGGCCTATATACTTAATGAAAATGTTAAAGGTCGGAAAGTCTGGAATCTAAATGTACTGAAACGGTCAGCTGTCCAGATAGATGGCGGAGAGAATGAAATACTGGGGATTCATCAAAGTGTCATTATATGAATGAGAATGGGTCCTTGAAAAATAGAAGGGCATCACACAGCACTGAACAGATACAGTCGAGTGCTTGAATGTAGGTCAAGGAATCCAATTAAAAAAATGATTGTTGCGTTCTAGGGGGAGATGGCAAAAATTGTTATAATGTATAAAATATAAATCATCCATCCCAGGAGCAGACACTAGATTCAGCCTATGGTGTCGAGGCAACAATTCTATCCATATATTATTTTAGATCGTTTCAGTTACATTAAATAAATTCGTTGCTTAAGGCGTTACAGTCGCAAATTGCGTTTTCACTTATTTCTTTGGTTGCAAAATGAGGCTTTACAACTATCATGTGTAATGGGTCTCCGGGCTGCAGTTGCGATTATAGTTAATTTAAGCTCTAGACTTTCACATCAAAACCAAGTAACAGGGTATCAATTACAAGGGCTCGGGTAAGGTCGAAGCATGATAGGAATAAGCAATTATTCGCAATATACCTGAGACGCAAGGTTACTTTGCAACTTAACTTTTTCAGTTTTATCAATTTGTTCTGTATAAATATCATCCTACAAGCCTGTTGATCTCGCAGATCAACCACGTTAATTAGGCTGCTAAACAACAAATACCCCCGCTCCCCCGAACGCCTTATCCTTATTAGCAGGTTTCCAAATGCAGATAGGTAATATTTTCGGGCCAAAAGAGAGCCAGCCAGAACAGAGCCTCTCGGAAACCAATTAAGGGACAGACGTAGAGCATAACACTTGCGCGTGCCTTGCCTTATGGAAAAATTAGTATTTTCAGAGTGGGACGCGACTTGATCAAGACGATTGTAGTACACAAGTATATGTCTTCACTGCTTCTTTTTCAGCACTATTATTTATTTATTATTCCTGTTTTGTTAATTCATCTATCTTATAATCCCATAACCTAGGCGTAAATAATGTTTTCATAGCCTGGTTTACCTGATCCAGTAGTTTCACATATCAAGCGGATCCGGGAAGGGAGGGTTCAGGGGGGTCTGGATCCCCCCCCCCCCCCCTTTTTTTTTCAACGCTGACCAAAACCTCCTGTAAATATACTGGTTTTTTAGAAATCCTGGATCCTCACCTGTATATGCACAAGTATTTTAAAATCGCTCGAAGCATACACCCAATAGCACTAAAGTTGCTTCAGCAATCCTATTCAGTCATACAAGTTTGTTAATATATCTGAAACCAATTTTGAATAATATTTACAGTACAAAAACATGATATTTAAAAAAACATTATCTTTCATAACGTAGGACCGACAGTAGGCACTCTCTTCACCATTATCCCATGAAGTCGCAGGCAATATCTTATGTGGAGATGAAGTCGCATTTTATCCTATGAAGTCGATTTGACAGTAAAATCAGGGCATTTATCCCATAAAGTGGTAATATATACCATGAAGTATCTTAACATAACGTGCATGCATATCGGGACTGCTAGTTGTTAACAGCTAAGTTGTTAATAGTTGACGTGACCAAGCACGGTCAAAAGAAATACATCAGACAGCCTCCAAAATTGATAGAACAAATGTATTATATAGAATTCTAAATCCATCCTCCAAAGGCCTGCTGTTGTTTCTGAATATGCTTATTGGAAAAATGGGCTGAATTGCTTATGTACACATATTCAGTTAGTTCAAGTGTAGATGTTTTTGTTGTGTACATATTGTGGAAATATGAAAGACCTGGCAGGATGTAGCCTTAATTATTCATTTGTATTTAAAATGGTTGCTTTATCCAAGATGGCGTCCAAAAATCCACCAGTTCTTGCAATTAAGTAATTTTTTCTTTAATCTAAATTTATTGATATAGAAAAAAGAAATGTCATGATATACATATATATTAAAATATAATATCTGTTGTCAAAATATGTAGCTAGAATCATTAAATTATTTGACACTAAATTTAAAATGAGACTTGAATGATACATATATTGAAACTTCAAACATTTGCTGACCTATATATATTTTTTTTCAAAAAAGTGGTATCTTGTTACGGTTTGGGGGCAGTATAAACCAAAAACTTCCGCCTTATAGCCTTCGCGGTTATGGCGGTAAACTTCAACTGAACGCCGCTGACGTTGAAACACGACAAGCAAGCACGTACCACTTTGTTCTTATACGTTGGCATATTACCAGAAAAGATCTACCTCTGAAAGAAATGTTTAAAGTGACGTGATGTTGAACGTTTTTAGATCGTGTTCACCTGCCATCTCAGCAGTGGTGTTTTTTCAGCTCACAAAATGTGTTCAGTTTCTATAAGGGAGCATTCACATCGAGAAGAGCCGAGGTCTAGTAAGGCCGCGACCTAAATATGGCAGACCACATGAAAGGAAGACCGCGTAATCCTTTAATGGTCTCTCAATGAATGTCATTTAGAGACCATCAAAGGATTACTAGACCTCGGCTCTTCTCGATGTAAATGCTCTCTTATGGGCTAAGGTTTCGAAATAGCTCTACTATAGTGTATCCCCTTATGCATACCATCTGTAAAGCATCAACCAGGAACGTTCTTATATTTTTTCATTTCTACCTCTAGTCCGTAAAATTATCAAAGGAGCTGGGCGAAGACAAGAAGTAAAGTTTGATAGAAAAAATCACTTCGTTGTTCTACGAAACATAAGTGACAGGTTTGGCTCAACGGATTCGTAACCATTTTGTTTTGTATTCGTTCTTGCGTAAATGTAAAATTTTTTCTTAATAATTGGAATATTTTACCTTCGTATTTCCTGTAAACTTCCGATATATTACACATGACATTAATTTTGAATTAAGAAAGTAATTTAAAACAAGCATTGTTCATCAATAAATGATCATATGTTTGTTTTACTAATGCAGACTGCATTAATGGATTTATCTTATTTTGTTTTGAGCGACCTACTAAGTTTGCGCCGACTCACAGGTGTCATTGAGGAACTCGAGCAAGATGTCAAGTTAAAACTAGACACGCGATTCTGCACCGACGACTACAGTTTATCAGGGATTGGTCGATGGGTATGTTAATGCTGATTTCCGGTCAGAAAGATCGATCTTATTACCTAAAGTTTTCAAATACCTTACTTATTCCTCTTTTTCTCAAGATTTGTCAATTTAATTACTCAGAACAATTCACTTTCCGTCACGAACTCCTCATTTTAAAAATACGAAAAATACACTATCGCTTACATTTTTTCAATTTTTATATCTACACTTGTTAAAGTTGGCTTATCATAAATATACCTGTATTAGTTTTTTCTAATTCCAAAGTGATATATACTAACTTAGTCATTTTTGCTATTCTGCCGTGACTATTTGGACTGTAAGAGACTATTCCCAGAGATTATCGCACTAACTTCGGATCGATATTTCTCCAAAGGGACTCTCACTTAATTGCTATCAACTTAAGGAGGCCGAACGTGCACGGAAATTAATTACCCCCTAGCTGATTCAATAGGCGTGACAGTAGCTTAAGTTGATAGCAAATTAGCGTGAATCCGTATGGAGTTAGACCGATCCTGTTGGTTTGATCAAGCCATGGGAACCCAGTCTAATACGGGTCATTTTTCTTACCATCTCCATTAAAGATTCTTCCATATCTTTTTGAAATTTTCCATTATATAGCTTGCTAGGTTTTAAGGCTGCTTTTTTACTTTCTATTGCATGAGCTGGCACTAAGACAGTTTTCCTCGCTGCTATTTGTCTGTACATTTGAAAGATTTGCTGCCTTGTTGTATACTCCAAACTTACTTGCAGGGGTTGGATCATCTTGATGATGTTCCAAGCAATTCCAAGTTTCATTGCTGGGGCGATGGAAATGGAATAGATGTATATGTGGTAGACACGGGCATCAATCCAAACCACGAAGATTTCACAGGGAGAGTTACCATTGGTGAGTATACCCGAAAGCATGCTAAAAATGCTGGAGAGGGATGGTGAGGGAAACACAAAGATTTACTTTGCAAATACGGTTTTGGATGCGTGTGGAATTCAATGTGCGGGAAATGGGAATTTATTTTGGGGTCATTTAAGGTTGGGCTAAAAGTAATGATCAGTAGCAAAATAACTCAAAAGTGAAATGATAAAACAACGCTGATGATACTAACAATATACGTATTTGCTTTCTCTAAATTTCATTTTACGAACTATAGCCTGATGATTGAACAAGACAGCACAGCTGTCAAATGTACAGACATGAAGTAGAAAAAATGATGAACAAAAAATGTTATTTTGTCAATTTTAAAGCAATATGACATAATGCATAGTAGCATAATCAGCATCGATTTTCATTGATTAAGTGAATATATCATGGACATGCAGAACATGTAACTAGCACAGTGCTTCAGGCCCATGTGAGTTCTAAGTAATACCTTGAAAATGTCAATATGTGGAGAATTTGCAATTGATTTAATAGTTCTGACATTCAGTTTGAAGTTTGAAGATAATAAGGCAGACGCGTAAACATCTGTATGCGTTGTCTTTATTGCATATATGCAGAAAAAAATACAAGAAAAAAAAACAGAATTACCTCTGAAAAAATGGTCCGATCAAGCTGATTTTTTAACTCGACCTGTATTTTGTGAATGTGCATCGGTTGTGTAGGTAGTCAATAGATCAAATGCTTTTCTATTTATCTACTAATCGTGTTATCTCTGAAAGCGCACGGAGACGGCAACGACGGCAATGATGACGACGACAGCAGACGTCTATTACAGGTGATTGTTTGACAGCTTTGTCGCCTTGTTTCCTGTATGTATCTACACATATATAGACAGCTAGACATGAATTCAAAGACATTCTTTATGAGGATAGCTAGGGCCGTTCTTAGACTATCTCACGAAAAAGTGGAGTTGAACAAAGACAAGTGTGGGGTGCAACACATGAAAAAAAGCTACATTTGACGCATGCTTTTTATTTCTCCAGGCTGGCCTACATCTACAAGTGTTGACGCCTGTGGTCATGGTACCCACGTGGCCGGTATCATCGCGGGAACCAATTCTGGCGTGGCAAAGCGTGCTAAAATCATTTCCGTGAAGGTTTGTTCATGTTCTGAGTGCGCTCTTTCCGATATATTGAATGGTTGCCTGTGGGTAAAAAAAAGAGTGAAAAGCACTTGGCAACTCTCCGTTGTTAACTTAAGTCTCGGTGGGCCGTTTCTCAAGTCTCTGAACGACGCAGTCGATGATCTACTCGCTGCTGGAATCCCCGTAATTGTTTCAGCTGGTAATTACAATGAAGACGCTTGCAATTACTCTCCAGCCAGTGCGACCGGTGCACTCACTGTTGGGGCGTATGATGTCTATTACGGTAAGGCTAGTTTCAGTAACTATGGTTCTTGCGTAGACTTGCACGCCCCGGGGGTGGATATCGGATCTGCTGACTACCAAAGAAACTCTGGATACGTTAAAATGAGTGGCACCTCCATGGCAGCCCCGTTTGTGACTGGCGCCGTGGCTGCTTTGTTACAGGTCCATAGAGATGGAGGGGATTTCAGCTTACCCTGTCCCCCGGTCATCTACACCGCGAAAAAGGTCATAAGTTTAGCAAAAGACGGTAAACTTTCCGGAGAGTCAATGAAGCCAATAAGGTTTTATATACTCCATGCCTCTGATTTTTTCCAGCCAAATAGAATCAACGTACGTATGTACTAGATCTACACGGTTTGGATTTCGATGTTCACACAGCAGACTTCTCCGACGGTAAATTTATATTATATCAATAATAAATTTATCACTGCAAAACAAGTTCATGAGTGCCATTCTTTCTTTTCTATAATCTAATTTTCATTGACATTTGCCTTTTCCTATGCAAAATAAACAATCTATCACGGATCCACGTCAATTATAGAAGCAAAAGTTTGGCTCAGAGAGGTACATTACAATGCTAGTAATGACCGTAAGTTATAATAATTGGTGTTAATTAAAACAATCGTAAAATATAAAAGATAAGGTATATTAGTCCGTCTTAAATACATGTAACAAAACAACAATAATAACTAGACTGCAACTGGCTGACGCCAGTGGCGGAGGATTCCCCTGATAAATAGGTGTGGGAATGCTTTCGTCAATCAATAAAAGATATTGTGTAATGGTTTATTGACCTAATGACCCCTTGACTTAATTGTGAGTTATGTTAACAAACTATTCTAAGGCAGTATATCTGTATAATAGCAGGTATATGGAGGTAAGACATAGGCAAAAATGACAAATATAGATAAATTGACCTTTGAACTTGAAGGTAATGGGCACTTACAAGGTCATGTGAAGGTCACGGGTTAAATTTGATCCCTTATTCTGAAAGAGCATGTGCGAATTGGGGGGGGGGGTCAACAAAACATCACTTTTAGCACACATCAGTATTTCTCCATGAAATAGCCGAATGACCTTGAAAACGAGGGTCAAGGTCAAATTTGACATTTGATTAGGCTGTTTGGGGTATATGTTTGGGGTAGTTTACTATAACATGCTATGACCAAAAACCAGTATTTCATGAAGAAATTACCAAAGTCGGGATTTCTGTAATGTCATAAATATTTTAAAATCTATATTAAAAAAAATTAGCAGTCGCTATGAAAGTTTGGCTAACCTTAGATAAATATATAGGGCATCATTTGCCACTAAGAAAACACGATCCATCCGTCTCTGTATCATTAACGCTGTTGCCACAGATGAATTCTGGGAAACGCTCCGCTACGCGAGTAAAAAGCACTGGCCCGTTTGCTGAATAATTGATGGAATCGTAGTGTCGAAAAAAAACTCCTTTATCCATTCACCAATGAAACGATTGCGTGGTTGGAATTTCAAAACTGCACTGTTTAATTTCGTTGCATTATCATTTGCCCAAGCGGTGACGTTTTCGAGAGAGAGTCCAAGCGCCTTAGAAGTATTGTGTCAGTGTCTAAGTATACCCCGCCGTATAGGTAAAGCAACAATAAACGTACCAAGTCAGTCTCGTGAGCAAACCAAAATGGGCCTTGGACATGTGAAGGCACTTGTTCGAAAAATGTCACTGTATATGCTTTGAATGTTTCTGGATCCAGTTGCACCAAACTATATAACACGTTTTCCACTGAAATGTTTACAATCTTAACATCAAAGCCTCCCTGAAAGTATAACAATTTGTTCTCCTGACATCACTGTTCTGTAAATACGTACTTTACCACGTGGGTAATGAAAAAGAATGCTCTCAAGGGAACGATGATTGATTCCGTGGACTCATGAATGGTGTCGTATACATCTGATAAAACGTTTACCCAAATTCTTCATCACATTCTCTTTCTTGATTTGTAATAATTTGATCTTTTTGGATAGTTTCCCAGAATGTCTTTGTAGTCTCGCATCTCGCTTTTGACTTGAAATCGGAATCATAAATATCCAACAGGGGAATGAGAGGCACCGAAAACAACGAACCTACAATTAAAAAAAGACGAAAGTAGCTTGGTTAAAAATTTAACTCTAATTTGCAATAGACTTGATAGAAATAGTCCCCATATTCCAGACACAGGCCTAACAGTAATTGTGCGTCACAGACCACGTGACCTCGTTGCTCATGAATATCCAGGCCTAGTGAACAGGGCCATTTCTGAAGCTCGATATTTTCAATATCATTTAAAAATGATATTTTGATGTAAAATTGATAGTTAGACGGTGATAGTTGGACATTCACCTTTTCACTGTTCCATCCATTCTACATTCCCTTTTCCTTTAATATTGTTGAGAGGACTTTTAACTCATATTGCCAGTGTACAAGGTATTACCATTAAGATACTTCAAAACAGAATGTCTGAACCTGTAAAACCACATCCAGATACAGCATATTTTAACTGTCCAAGTTTTTACTTTGCTCATTTGAAATTTGAAACGATTTCATAATTTGCACCAATCAAATAAAGAGAATCAAACCATAGCATGTATTGTTCACTAATAGCCTAACACCTTTATACTCTACAGCAACCTGTTAACGTTTGAACAAAAGCTAATTACAAATAAACTTGTACAGTATTAAAGTTGCAAAAATGTCCGACACCGAAGTTTTCGACTCTTTGGAGCATGTCGTCTTTGTTCATTTTTAATGGTGGCCAGTCAAAAGAGTACCTGTACGTGAATGTAAAATACCCGGTACACGCATTTTTGTTTTCTGTACATACCTTGCAAATCCGTTAAAGTTAATACAAGAGCCATGCTTAAGCATACTAACGCCAATAATGCAATTTTATAGGACAGTAGCTCCATGCTGTTGCAGGACACCTACTTGCTCTCCGGACACTTTCTCATACAATATTAATAGAAAAAATAATCCGGTCATCTTCACACCAGAGTGAGTATGGTTTTAAGTACCCGATTTAAAGTACCATTTAAAGTGTCGTTTAGAGTGCCATATTTAAATATATCACTCTCTCGTGGATAGGTAAAAACAAAATTTTTACTTGTGGTCAATGGGTTTCGCTACATTATAAAGACATGTATTTGGCAAAATAGTCCATTTCACTCCGTTTCTTTTATGCCAAATACTTATCTTAACATTTCTGCTATAGCAAAAAACGCTTCGGTACACGAAGATCCTTTTGCTTGCTTTATTCACAACATCACGCACTTCTGCACATTGGGTGACCACTTATCGTCAATACCGATGCTTCGTAAACTGGGGTGAGAAAAAATTTACCAACATAAATGCCTAAATTTAAGGAAAAGTGTCTAATATGACTGCCATTCAAATTTAAACTGTTTTAAGTGTTTTGAATCACAAATTTGGGGANTTTTTTTAACTCGACCTGTATTTTGTGAATGTGCATCGGTTGTGTAGGTAGTCAATAGATCAAATGCTTTTCTATTTATCTACTAATCGTGTTATCTCTGAAAGCGCACGGAGACGGCAACGACGGCAATGATGACGACGACAGCAGACGTCTATTACAGGTGATTGTTTGACAGCTTTGTCGCCTTGTTTCCTGTATGTATCTACACATATATAGAAAGCTAGACATGAATTCAAAGACATTCTTTATGAGGATAGCTAGGGCCGTGCTTAGACTATCTCACGAAAAAGTGGAGTTGAACAAAGACAAGTGTGGGGTGCAACACATGAAAAAAAGCTACATTTGACGCATGCTTTTTATTTCTCCAGGCTGGCCTACATCTACAAGTGTTGACGACTGTGGTCATGGTACTCACGTGGCCGGTATCATCGCGGGAACCAATTCTGGCGTGGCAAAGCGTGCTAAAATCATTTCCGTGAAGGTTTGTTCATGTTCTTGGTGCGCTCTTTCCGATATATTGAATGGTTGTCTGTGGGTAAAAAAAAGAGTGAAAACCACTTGGCAACTCTCTGTTGTTAACTTAAGTCTCGGTGGGCCGTTCCTCAAGTCTCTGAACGACGCAGTCGATGATCTACTCGCTGCTGGAATCCCCGTAATTGTTTCAGCTGGTAATTACAATGAAGACGCTTGCAATTACTCTCCAGCCAGTGCGACCGGTGCACTCACTGTTGGGGCGTATGATGTCTATTACGGTAAGGCTAGTTTCAGTAACTATGGTTCTTGCGTAGACTTGCACGCCCCGGGGGTGGATATCGGATCTGCTGACTACCAAAAAAACTCTGGATACGTTAAAATGAGTGGCACCTCCATGGCAGCCCCGTTTGTGACCGGCGCCGTGGCTGCCTTGTTGCAGGTCCTCAGAGATGGAGGGGATATCAACTCACCCTGTCCCCCCGCCGTCAATTCCGCGAACCATTACATCAAAGCTATGGCAAAAGACGGTAAACTTTCCGGGGTCAATGAAGCCAATAAGGTTTTATATACTCCATGCCTCTGATTTTTTTCCAGCCAAATAGAATCAACGTACGTATGTACTAGATCTACACGATTTGGCTTTCGATGTTCACACAGCAGACTTCTCCGACGGTAAATTTATATTATATCAATAATAAATTTATCACTGCAAAACAAGTTCATGCGTGCCATTCTTTCTTTTCTATAATCTAATTTTCATTGACATTTGCCTTTTTCTATGCAAAATAAACAATCTATCACGGATCCACGTCAATTATAGAAACAAAGGTTTGGCTCAGAGAGGTACATTACAATGCTAGTAATGACCGTACGTTATAATAATTGGTGTTAATTAAAACAATCGTAAAATATAAAAGATAAGATACATTAGTCCGTCTTAAATACATGTAACAAAGCAACAATAATAACTAGACTGCAACTGGCTGACGCCAGTGGCGGAGGATTCCCCTGATAAATAGGTGTGGGAATGCTTTCGTCAATCAATAAAAGATAGTGTGTAATAGTTTATTGACCTAATGACCCCTTGACTTAATTGTGAGTTATGTTAACAAACTGTTCTAAGGCAGTATATCTGTATAATAGCAGGTATATGGAGGTAAGACATAGGCAAAAATGACAAATATAGATAAATTGACCTTTGAACTTGAAGGTAATGGGCACTTACAAGGTCATGTGAAGGTCACGGGTTAAATTTGACCCCTTATTCTGAAAGAGCATGTGCGAATTGGGGGGGGGGGTCAACAAAACATCACTTTTAGCACACATCAATATTTTTCCATGAAATAGCTGAATGACCTTGAAAATGAGGGTCAAGGTCAAATTTGACATTTGATTTGGGGGTTTTGGGTATATGTTTGGGGTGGTTTACTATAGCATGCTATGACCAAAAACCAGTGTTTCATGGAGAAATTGCCAAACTCAAGATTTCTGCAATATCATAAATATTTAAAAATCTATATTTAAAAAAGTAATTAAGCAGTCGCTACCAAATTACGGCTAACCTTAGATAAATATATAGGGCATCATTTGCCACTATGAATGGGGCTCTGGGCCTTCCGGTTTTGGAGATCTCGGAAACAAACCTTTTTTGAGCCTGTTTGGCCATTAGTGACCTTGACCTTGACCTAATTGCATAAAAGTAGGTCATTATCTGTNGACATTTGATTAGGCTGTTTGGGGTATATGTTTGGGGTAGTTTACTATAGCATGCTATGACCAAAAACCAGTATTTCATGGAGAAATTACCAAAGTCGCGATTTCTGTAATGTCATAAATATTTAAAAATCTATATTTAAAAAAAATTAGCAGTCGCTATGAAAGTTTGGCTAACCTTAGATAAATATATAGGGCATCATTTGCCACTAAGAAAACACGATCCATCCGTCTCTGTATCATTAACGCTGTTGCCACAGATGAATTCTGGGAAACGCTCCGCTACGCGAGTAAAAAGCACTGGCCCGTTTGCTGAATAATTGATGGAATCGTAGTGTCGAAAAAATCTCCTTTATCCATTCACCAATGAAACGATTGCGTGGTTGGAATTTCAAAACTGCACTGTTTAATTTCGTTGCATTATCATTTGCCCAAGCGTTGACGTTTTCGAGAGAGAGTCCAAGCGCTTTAGAAGTATTGTGTCAGTGTCTAAGTATACCCCGCCGTATAGGTAAAGCAACAATAAACGTACCAAGTCAGTCTCGTGAGCAAACCAAAATGGGCCTTGGACATGTGAAGGCACTTGTTCGAAAAATGTCACTGTATATGCTTTGAATGTTTCTGGATCCAGTTGCACCAAACTACATGTATATAACACGTTTTCCACTGAAATGTTTACAATCTTAACATCAAAGCCTCCCTGAAAGTATTTGACAATTTGTTCTCCTGACATCACTGTTCTGTAAATACGTACTTTAACCACGTGGGTAATGAAAAAGAATGCTCTCAAGGGAACGATGATTGATTCCGTGGACTCATGAATGGTGTCGTATACATCTGATAAAACGTTTACCCAAATTCTTCATCACATTCTCTTTCTTGATTTGTAATAATTTGATCTTTTTGGATAGTTTCCCAGAATGTCTTTGTAGTCTCGCATCGGGCTTTTGACTTGAAATCGGAATCATAAATATCCAACAGGGGAATGAGAGGCACCGAAAACAACGAACCTACAATTAAAAAAAGACGAAAGTAGCTTGGTTAAAAATTTAACTCTAATTTGCAATAGACTTGATAGAAATAGTCCCCATATTCTAGACACAGGCCTAATAGTAATTGTGCGTCACAGACCACGTGACCTCGTTGCTCATGAATATCCAGGCCTAGTGAACAGGGCCATTTCTGAAGCTCGATATTTTCAATATCATTTAAAAATGATATTTTGATGTAAAATTGATAGTAAGACGGTGATAGTTGGACATTCACCTTTTCACCGTTCCATCCATTCTACATTCCCTTTTCCTTTAATATTGTTGAGAGCACTTTTAACTCATATTGCCACTGTACAAGGTATTACCATTAAGATACTTCAAAACAGAATGTCTGAACCTGTACAACCACATACAGATACAGCATATTTTAACTGTCCAAGTTTTTACTTTGCTCATTTGAAATTTGAAACGATTTCATAATTTGCACCAATCAAATAAAGAGAATCAAACCATAGCATGTATTGTTCACTAATAACACCTTTATACTCTACAGCAACCTGTTAACGTTTGAACAAAAGCTAATTACAAATAAACTTGTACAGTATTAAAGTTGCAAAAATGTCCGACACCGAAGTTTTCGACTCTTTGGAGCATGTCGTCTTTGTTCATTTTTAATGGTGGCCAGTCAAAAGAGTACGTGAATGTAAAATACCCGGTACACGCATTTTTGTTTTCTGTACATACCTTGCAAATCCGTTAAAGTTAATACAAGAGCCATGCTTAAGCATACTAACGCCAATAATGCAATTTTATAGGACAGTAGCTCCATGCTGTTGCAGGACACCTACTTGCTCTCCGGACACTTTCTCATACAATATTAATAGAAAAAATAATCCGGTCATCTTCACACCAGAGTGAGTATGGTTTTAAGTGCTCGATTTAAAGTACCATTTAAAGTGTCGTTTAGAGTGCCATGTTTAAATATATTACTCTCTCGTGGATAGGTAAAACAAACATTTTACTTGTGGTCAATGGGTTTCGCTACATTATAAAGACATATATTTGGCAAAATAGTCCATTTCACTCCGTTTCTTTTATGCCAAATACTTATCTTAACATTTCTGCTATAGCAAAAAAACGCTTCGGTACACAAAAATCCTTTTGCTTGCTTTATTCACAACATCACGCACTTCTGCACATTGGGTGACCACTTATCGTCAATACCGATGCTTCGTAAACTGGGGTGAGAAAAAATTTACCAACATAAATGCCTAAATTTAAGGAAAAGTGTCTAATATCACTGCCATTCAAATTTAAACTGTTTTAAGTGTTTTGAATCACAAATTTGGGGATAAGATAATATAAAAATGTATATTAAAATATAAGTATCGGAAAGTGTTTTGAATCACAAGTTTTGAGGATAAGATGTGTAATGTCAGTAA